CAGACGTCCAGCTGCTCTTCTACCCTCTTCAGCTGGCCACCGACGCCGGCCTCATCTTCAGAGACTTTCTCAGCATGTCTAACAAGGTAGGCGGCCGCGCGTGCAGGGCAGCTGTGCACAGTCTGGAGGTCTGGGGCTCGCTTCGAACCGTGAGACACTTTTAATGGTTCTGGTTCCCTCCGGGTTGAAGTTACGGAAATGATCCTAAGAGAAAGATGCGTTAGTGACTAGCGTAGCGACCATGCGTTTCAGGATGGTCATGCAAATGTGGGCTGGGGAAGCGAGGACTGGGAATATGAAGGGAGCAGCAGCCGAGGTATGTTCGGGTTAAAGTTTATGGTGCAGGGCGCTGCATTCCAACGGTTTGTTTACTGAACAAAGATATCACGATAAAGATAGGATGTTTTGCTTTCTGCTCAGCTGAAGGTTCGCTCTCCCTTTTCCCTGTGCGGAGGGTCGTGCGAGTGTGCACTGGGGAAAGAGAAGACTGGAAATACGAAAGGAGCGACAACTGAGGTTAGATATCCTCAGGTCAAAGTCCATGTTACGGGACACCGCATTCCAACTGCTTGTTTGCTGAGCAAAGGTGTCAGAATAAAGATAAGATGTTTTGGTTTCTGCTCTGCCGGAGGCTCGTCCTCCCTTCCTCCTGTGACCTTTGCTCCATGACCTTGCTCCTTGTGACCTGTGTGACCTTGGCTCCGGCCCTTCAATATTGTCGGATACGTTGATCGAATACGCCCGTTGAGCCACTTGGCGACGGTGGCGACCGTGTTTTCAAAAACTTTGGACGGACGCAAGGAGATCTAATCGTATTATTCCCATATGCACAATCATTCAACATGCAGGTGCAAAATTGCACACATGCACGTCTTCTCACATGTTCACACATGCAAGCATGCATCCGCGATCATGAATGTTGACTTACAAACATGCACGCATGTGTTCTTGCGCTCCTGAAAACAAACACTTTGTGACCACGTTTGCAGGCCATTTGCGGTTGTCCCAGAATGTGATCGAACCTTCTCCTCTGACTCTAAGTTGTCCTGTGCCCGTGCCTTACTGACCTGTCACTTTCCCATCTCTCCAACCCGTCCCCTCCTCGTATCTCTGAGCCGTTTCTTCCCGCCTGCTTAGCTCGTCTCCATCCTCTCCCAGCTTCGTCTCTTTCCCCGATCGCTGACCTATCCCTCTTTGATCTGTCCCTGCCGCCTCTCACTCGCCCGCTCTTTCCGTGCAGCTCTGGAGACAATTTTCACCCAACAAGCTCAAGTCGGGCTACCGGATCGTGCCGATCAACCTGCGCCCGCGGAGTCGCGGACGGGTGCTCCTGCGCTCCCGGAATCCGTTCCAGGACCCAGCCATAAGGCTCAACCTGTTCGACGACCTGAAGGACCTGGCCGTGCTCAGAGAGGCGGCGAAGATGACCGAACAGGTGAGACCTGACGACCTGAAGAGCGGGCGGAACCTGATCATTGGAACCTGGTCTGGCCGTGCTCAGGGGGACGGCGCAGAGGTCGTCGAGCAGGTGGGATGGTTTGTAAAGGGTGGCAGTGGTGGGGGGGGGGGGGGGGGAGAAAATGCGTATTTTGACCAAATGGTTCAGATGGGTATGTGCGGTCTGGGAAAGAGAAGATACTGGGCACGGAGTGGAATAGATGGATAATGATGGAAATGATACTAACATCGGGAGCTCAGGGATTGGAGCCATTCGGGTTTGATTTGGGGGGAAAGGTAATAATAGTGGAGCAACAGGGGAGTCGATGGTGAAATGGCTGAAAATGCGTAGCGAATCAGGCGGATAGGGCTCCAGAACTTGTAGAAAGGACCGGGTGTATGGATGGTAACATGTCCAGCCATAGTTCCCTTCCTGAAGAGTCTTGAAAGGCTAACCGCTCCGGCTCCATTCTTCAATCTTTATCGCCAAGACGCTGTGGCGGGTACGATGACATCGCAGCCCGCACCTCCAGGTGGCGCTTTCTCCTCCGTTCCGCCGCGTCGGAGGCCGACCGAGCCGCGTGCGCAGCCCCTTCTGCGGCTCGCTGCCCGCCCGCTCCGACCCCTGGTGGGAGTGTCAGGCGCGGGTCTTCTCCGAGACCATTTACCACGACACCAGCACGTGTGCCATGGGACCGCCGCACGACCACTACGCCGTGGTGGATAACCAGCTCAGGTGCGTGTGTGGGGACGTGCGATCAGCTCCAATGACACTGGGAGAGGAGCTGTGCACTCAGCTCAACTGATATTGGGAGAGGAGCTGTGCACTCAGCTCAACTGATATTGGGAGAGGAGCTGTGCACTCAGCTCAACTGATATTGGGAGAGGAGCTGTGCACTCAGCTCCATTGATATTGGGAGAGGAGCTGTGCACTCAGCTCAACTGATATTGGGAGAGAAGCTGTGCAATCAGCTCGCGTGATATTGAGGGAAGGGGGCTGTGCAATCGGTCCAGAAGGTGAGTTGTAGCTGAGTACACGAACACAGCTCTCGTGTGATTGTAAATGTGATGAATAGTGCATGTAGTCAGCTCAGGAGCGATTGTGCGAGGGGGGGGGGGGGAGGAAGGGTGGCGTTGGGAATACTTGGACAGAGCCGCATGACCAATCATTGATTCATCTACCTCAGATATTCGGCTTCTCTTAGCCTACTTGGTACATAAGGCGGTATCAGTAAGCATGAATTCCATTTGCGTTCCAAATCTCTTGTTCAGAACGCAATGCCGCCGCTGGTCCGTAGAGCACACGATGACCGTCGTTTATAAACTCCTTTCTCTTGCAGAACACCCAGCCTGCCCCACATATACTTATATATATATATATATATATATATATATATATATATACTTCTCACTGTTTAGCAATGTGTATATAATCGTCGGACTGGGAGAGGGGGCATACCTCTGTAACACCGCCCCCCTCTCTCAGGGCGTTCCGCATTGCCGACCTGCTCGTGGGCGACGCGTCCGTCACGCCCCTCCTCCCTCAGGGTGTACGGCATTACCGTTCTGCTCGTGGGTGACGCGTCCGTCACGCCCCTCCTCCCTCAGGGTGTACGGCATTACCGACCTGCTCGTGGGTGACGCGTCCGTCACGCCCCTCCTCCCTCAGGGTGTGCGGCAGTACCGACCTGCTCGTGGGTGACGCGTCCGTCACGCCCCTCCTCCCTTAGGGTGTGCGGCATTACCGACCTGCTCGTGGGTGACGCGTCCGTCACGCCCCTCCTCCCTCAGGGTGTACGGCATTACCGACCTGCTCGTGGGTGACGCGTCCGTCACGCCCCTCCTCCCTCAGGGTGTACGGCAGTACCGACCTGCTCGTGGGTGACGCGTCCGTCACGCCCCTCCTCCCTCAGGGTGTACGGCAGTACCGACCTGCTCGTTGGTGACGCGTCCGTCACACCCCTCCTCCCTCAGGGTGTACGGCAGTACCGACCTGCTCGTGGGTGACGCGTCCGTCACGCCCCTCCTCCCTCTGGGTGTACGGCAGTACCGACCTGCTCGTTGGTGACGCTTCCGTCACGCCCCTCCTCCCTCTGGGTGTACGGCAGTACCGACCTGCTCGTGGGTGACGCGTACGTCACGCCCCTCCTCCCTCAGGGTGTACGGCATTACCGTTCTGCTCGTGGGTGACGCGTCCGTCACGCCCCTCCTCCCTCAGGGTGTACGGCATTGCCGTTCTGCTCGTTGGTGACGCGTCCGTCACGCCCCTCCTCCCTCAGGGCGTGCGGCAGTACCGACCTGCTCGTGGGTGACGCGTCCGTCACGCCCCTCCTCCCTCAGGGTGTACGGCATTACCGATCTGCTCGTTGGTGACGCGTCCGTCACGCCCCTCCTCCCTCAGGGTGTACGGCAGTACCGACCTGCTCGTGGGTGACGCGTCCGTCACGCCCCTCCTCCCTCAGGGTGTACGGCATTACCGTTCTGCTCGTTGGTGACGCGTCCGTCACGCCCCTCCTCCCTCAGGGTGTACGGCATTACCGTTCTGCTCGTTGGTGACGCGTCCGTCACGCCCCTCCTCCCTCAGGGTGTACGGCATTACCGACCTGCTCGTGGGTGACGCGTCCGTCACGCCCCTCCTCCCTCAGGGTGTGCGGCATTACCGACCTGCTGGTGGGTGACGCGTCCGTCACGCCCCTCCTCCCTCAGGGTGTACGGCATTACCGACCTGCTCGTGGGTGACGCGTCCGTCACGCCCCTCCTCCCTCAGGGTGTACGGCATTACCGACCTGCTCGTGGGTGACGCGTCCGTCACGCCCCTCCTCCCTCAGGGTGTACGGCATTACCGTTCTGCTCGTGGGTGACGCGTCCGTCACGCCCCTCCTCCCTCAGGGTGTGCGGCAGTACCGATCTGCTCGTGGGTGACGCGTCCGTCACGCCCCTCCTCCCTCAGGGTGTACGGCATCGCGGGCCTGCGCGTGGTCGACGCCTCGGTGATGCCCCGAATCCCGTCGGGTAACACCAACGCACCCACCATCATGATCGCCGAGAAGGCCGCCGACCTGGTCAAGGCCTACTGGCACGCCGTGGACATGGGCCTGGATCCAGCCACGTACGTGGAGCGGCACGTGCTGCACCCGCGCCGACGCGGCGGCCGGCTCTACGACTACACAGAACACGTGGGCCACGCAGACGCACACGTGACAGAGTCGAGCGAAGACCGGGCGACCACAAAGCCGAGAGAAGAGCCGAGCCAAGGCAGGGCGGCGGCTGAACAGAGGTTTTCAGTGGGGGGAGATGGAGCAGTGTCCGGAGGGAGGACCGGACGCTCTGAGGACCGTCCACTCCTTCCTCCTCAGAGGACGGCTTCTTTCTCTTCGGAGGACGGCGTGGCTTCGGTCCTGGATGGGCTGCCCTCAGAGTTTGGAGGACAGTCTGGTAGAGACAGTGCGGTATTGGTAAAGATTGATGGACCTGCGATATCGGAGGATAAACCGTCTTTTAAGAGAGATAGATCCCCTGCACGAGATTATGAGGTGTTCACCGAGGAGGACGCACAGGCTCCAACACTGCGACAACCATCACCTGCAGAAGACGGCCTTTCCTTTGCCGGGATGTAAACCGTCACCCATCAAAGAAAACCCTTCACATTCTGAAGGAACACCTTCACCCTGTGAAGGTAAAGCTTCACCCGTGAAAGACGCAGCGCCACAGATACGGGGCGAAGAATCAGCGGCCTCAGATGCTGCACCAAGGAGATGGGAGGTCTCCGATAGCTGGCTGACGGAGACCGATCTGGCGCGGTACAGTCAGGACAAGCGCCAGCTGGTGGACATGATGAGTGTAGCTCGAGACAAACTGGGGCGCCTGGCGCGTGTGCTCACCGCCGGTGCCTTCACGCAATAAGAGCTCGGACGTGTGACGAGAAAGTGCTTGGTTGCCATTTATCTAGTGACGTTGTGAATGGTGATGTCCTTATGCACGTAGGCGAACACGCGTGCGTGTACGCGCGTCTCACTCCACACGTGCTTACACGTGCCGATGTCGCACGTGCCTGTGTAGGCGTGTTTGTTGCAGGCAGTGCACGTCGGCAGGGGTCATTTTCATCATCATAGTGACAAAACATAGAAGTCATCAGAATCATCTGCCCCGTCGGGATGGACAGCAGGTGACGTGTAGAAGTAAGCTCTGTGAGTGTTGTGTAATTGACTCCATCTGGACTCGATTTGGCCACACATATGAGACTGCGGAAACTTAGGATAGAGTCGAATGAACGACATATATCAGAATGTCAGCATCGTGATATTCATGCGGTTTAAGTAAGCTGGAGCAGAGAATAGGATGTGTGCTAAATACGTTAAACGATTGCTGGAAACACGCCACCATGTGATCCGCTATAACGGACCTAGTCTTATCAGTACCTTCAGCTGACTTGGACTAGGATATTTTTACAGCTAGTGTGGTCTCCCATCAGCGTGGCATCAGCAGAGCATGTGTAAATACCGCATCGTGGGTGGTCTTACACGTGTTTAGTGGGGATTCAAATGATTATCAAGATAGTTATTTCCTTGTCCACTTAACCGTTAGTTGCTCCCGTTGTTAACTGGGAACTGTCTGACGTGGCTGCGTTCAGCATGTAAAAGTTCATAGGCAGTGTAGCATAGCTGGCCCCTCTAATCCTTTGAACGTCTACCACCATATACAAGCAAACCGGTCAGGACATCTATCCACTGTAACCATAATAATAGCAAACCGGTCAGGACATCTATCACTGTAACCATAATAATAGCAAACCGGTCAGGACATCTATCACTGTAACCATAATAATAGCAAACCGGTCAGGACATCTATCACTGTAACCATAATAATTCTGCTCTGCTCACAAAATCGATGACAAAATATGCAATAGCCGGGTATCCAAAAAACGTAGGCACATGTCAACAGCAGTGTTCTTGGGCTGGCATGTATATTCCAAAAATCTGGAGACTAAAGACCTTTTAATGACAAACAACCCAATGGTGACATGTGTTAGCGACGGCTCACTTTGCATCTCACAGGCGAGGGATCATAAGATCATATACCACGCGACCATTGTACAAGTCTTACCCGCCAAATGCTCACACAAAATATTGAAATTCTAGCAGCACACGACACAAGAAAACCCAGCATCCTGAAAGCGATACTAACTCACGACCACGCATCAGTACTAAACAGGCAAATCAATCAGGCCTTTAACTTATCTCTTTGGAGCCACACTTAAAATAAATTACACCGACAAGGAACATGACGCTGCCCCGGACAATGGGTCTGACCTAATGAAATGTAGCGGCGTGAAGTGTTATTTTGGATGTCATATATCGCAGCGGACCTTATCGGCTGGTGCAAAGTCAGAATGACAGTGATAATGATCCCATGATAGGTAGCGTATAGCTCGCATGCTCGTGCTTTATGTTGTGGTTTTAAGAGTGCCAGTCGCTGACATCAGCCGAAGAATTGATTTTAAGAATGTGTAACGATGTATACGAGACGTTGAATAGCAAGAATATACGTGAATACGAAACATGTCTCATGGCTGAATTATTTGTTCACCTAACAAGCAATGTTAAACGCAACGCACCAATATAAAAATCTGAACAGAAAGATGTCCAGTACTGAAAACACAATGCTTGTTAATGGTCTTTGGTCTATGCCTAAGTGGAGGCATATTGTCAAATTTATCAGTATATGCATGTGCGAAAATATGCGTACATACACCTACACAGATATGCATGCATGTATGGGTACATGCATACGCTGTGTAAAAACGATGAATGGACAGGACAGCAGTAGCTCTCATTTATGTCATGACAGCAGATCTCATGGGTACGTTTCGATATCATCATTATAACATTACAATTTTATACAATGAGAGGGGGAGGGGGGGGGGGCGATCTGCCAAGCAGGTGAAAAATCGGGGGCGCTAAGATTCAGCTACTTCTGTAGAACGCGTCAACAGCCTATTCACAGTTGTTTTATCTTTCAGCAGCATTTATCCATTATTCATTTACCCTAAATTCGCCATGCCGACTAATATCAGTAATTACGCGTTATTCGCAGCGGTGAAACCACCAGCATCAGTGAGAAAGTGATAACAACAGATAAACCGATTTCAACGTCAGCTGGAGTAGCAATCACATCTCCGCCTCTTCAACCAGCTGGTTAAAACAATGAGCAAACAGGTGATCAAAACTACGATTAACCAGCAGATCAAAACTTTAAACAGCCTAAGAATTGCAAAGAACAGTGAAGCCTTTCTTCCCAACTTTCTGAACTTAGTGAGCAAAAAAATTTCCCCTCCTTCGACTCAAACTGAAGAAGAGCTGAGATCATTGAACAAAACTACTCCTTGATACGTACAAGAATCATGAAATATTACACGAAACACAACAAAGGAGAAACAAAAAGATCTCAAGGAGATGGTGAAAAACGCAAGTTTAATTGTGAAACTACGTGGCAAGTGCAAACGAAAGGTTATCTTAGACTGAACGATACACGTCAATGATGTAAATGACATTCTTTAGGATACACCCAAGTACGAAAGATTATCTCACCATCGCACAACCAAAATAGAAGGCAAAATCAAACAATTCCTCACACAAAGTCCCAAAATTAAACTGGTCGGGTTATTCGTAACAAAATTTACGCCCACGAAGTCGAGGCTTCCCGTTATCTACGGTTTCCCTAAAGATCATATGGCGGGTGTACTTCTTCGGCCCATCGTGTCAGCTGGTGGCGGACCGACGGAGAAAAGGTCTTGACCTTTGGAAAAAACTGAATCAGCTCCCTGCTTGCACTCCAGCTCACCTACGAAATGCAGAAGAATACCTGTTTAAGCTCTTAGCTAAGTTCCCCGAACGTCAACTTCAAATGAATGCGGTATTTTTCTACATGGATATCGTAAATTTATACGGAAGTGCCCCACGAGACGAAGGTATATCGACGGTGCCTGATCTCGTTTCCGAGCATGAAAACAACAAACATATTTATGGCGTTACACCGGCTTACATCAACCATTTCCTCTGCCGCTGTCGCGACAACATATTCAGATTGAACGAAGATCACTGTGGGCAGCGAGTTAGAATCTTCATGAGTAGCAGGGTGTCACCTCCAGAAGCGATTATCTCCACGCATAAAGTTGAACAGGCGCCTCTCACCAACACGAGCCTGAAACCAGGGTTTCACGCCACGTACATCGATGATACCGGCAGGTGTGTGGACGCACGGTCACAACAAACTTCCCCAACTTCATTGTTGTTTAAATTTCCTTCACTCGATCAAGCTCACCATGGCATGTTACTCTCAATGTGAGACGTGAGTTAAAAGAGCCTCCACAAATCTAACTTGGCAGAGTTTTACATAATCTTGCGATAATGCTTTTGCGATCAATGTCTCCTGGCCCACATTTGGACGCATTTATTGTCAGTGAATGAATTTTTCTGATGTATTTGGATCAAATTCCCTCCAACACCTGTTGTGCCTTGCACTAAAGTAGCGCCTCTTCGGTATCTATCTTACCATCAGTGGGCACGTATCAGAAGGGGGTAGACCCTCTAATGGAATTAGTGGGTCGATCTTTATTGCATTTTGATTCAACAACATACATAGTTTCCTGAACATGAGGTGGTGGCTTCCCGCTCTTTTCCCACTTATGTGCTCATTGTATGCCTCTTCGATATGAATGGTTGCATTCATGAAGGATTTCGAGCAGTGACCGTAGGTTTTGGATGATTTTCGAACCTCCAAAACTGACGCGCAATAATGAACACTAATTGTCGAGGAGTAAAGCTCTACGAAGCATTTCTCCACCAATATTGCTTGCGAAAGGTATGCTTCTTCATGTCTTTCCATTCAAAATACCATTTCCAGGTCGGGTTGCCCCCTTGGCTCTATGTTGACCCCTACAAACCTGATTTGTCCCCACTCCCACAATCTCAGGGATGTCGTCCCACCCTTGCATTGACCCTAGACTATAATTGAGTTTAGACGGTAAGCACCATTGCTACGTACGCGCGTCCCACCAGACCTTTACTGCCAAAGCATTACGGAATGGTGAGCGCTCCAAAAACGTAAACGTAGCGGTACTCAGTTCCTCTAAACGTTGTGGTATCGGGACCAATGTCTTCGGAAGTGTAGTGTTGTCCTTAGCCCAGAAATATGTACGCTGCAATTTCTTGGGAAGACCTAACCCTATAGCTATCGCTGTAATCGTCAACTTTGCTATCTCGTGCAGCGTGTTTGAGATTAATATAAAAACCACTCTCTGCCGATTTTACGCATGACATTGTTGCGACAAGAAAAAAGTGTCAAAAACACCGCGCGCCACATACAGATTTTATTCGGCCATTCCAATTTAGCCTTTGCGTTTCATCGGTTAGATCGGAAACAGCGAGGTGGAATCGTGATGTTGCCATTTGGGTCTGTACGTAATCTGTCATGCACGTGTTCAGAGAAAGCTAACGGGCTAATGCTTAAAATCACGCTTCCATTTAGTTCAAAGTGGCAATGTAAACCAGCTTGAGGTTATTAAAAGCTGTTTTAAAATAGTTGTATGATTATCTGCACGTTCCAGGATAATATCCGACAAGTTTAACATCCAGAAATTAGATTGTCCTTGGTGTGCAAGACTGTATTGATGTAACCGTGATAAGACGTGAGGTTCACTTCACTAGTGACACACGCCAATCACCTTGTTCACACACGCCAATCACATCGTTCACTTGGCGTGTGTCACAATTGTCCACTTCAATAATGGCACACACCAATCACCTTGTTACCAAATGCAACGTGTTTTTGGCTCACTACACGTCGTTTCCAACATTGAACTTGACGCAAGCTCAACATCCAATGGTCAAATGGCCAAAGCTCACCGTCATTTATGCCATTCACCAATCGCCATACAACCATTTTTGCGGTCAGGATCGCTGAAGACACGAACATCGGTCCACGGAGAGCTGGGATATTCTGGGAGCGCTGGTTGCCGCGTTTCTGCATAGCACACACACACACACACACACACACACACACACTTGAGAATAGGGTTGCATCTCAATCACATATCTTAAATGTTGAAAATGTAAGGTCAGAGGAAGAGGATTTTGAACTCGAGCAACCGAAACGGTTTAGAGATGCCCACAATCAACATGGCAGTTCGCCGCACCGACGCCATCATGGTTGCTATCGTCAATCCCACGTCATAAGGAAAGGGGCAAGCGGAAAAAGAGGAAATTGATGACGCACGCACTTTTCTGACCTTTTATTCTTTATCCGTATAGGTATTTACCGACTTAATTTTCTTTTCTGATACCCTGGCATGAAATCGGCTTGAGCGCATTGATGCTAAGCATTTACACCACCGATACACTTTCGCCGGTTAGTCACGGAGCCGCTGTTTTGTATATGCGTTGCATTTCTACGTACTTTCGCCACTCGAACATTGATCAAAGTCATTTAAAGTCAAAATAGCATGAAAAACCACTTGTTAATGATTCCAGACAATGCTGAATGAGTCAACAGCATTTCGATTGAAAGACTTCATGACAAGTCAATTGCGTTGATCAGTGCCTTATCCTGGCACCTTATCTCGTCAAAATGGCCCATTTAACCCACTGCTGCAATCAAATGATCCGATATGGGCCATAAATAGGCATAGCAGGGGCTGCCTGACCGCAAAAGCTCTTTAACTTGTATTACGCCATAACTCTCCCGTTAGCCTAGGCTTATTACCAGCGCGGCGTATGCTTCAAACTTCTGCAATCTAGTGGATGTAAGTATCTGTAATGATACGACTTCGGAGTGTCCGAAACAATTTAACACATTTTGAGTCGCGGGGTCAAAGGGTAGCGCTCTTTATGGGTCGTGGCAGGCAGTTGCTGCGCCACCCTCCATTGTGTGCTACCTCCTCCCCTTCCAAAGTTGTCACCATTGGTCAACTTGCCAAAGTGTAGTCAGCCGCCACGTCGAAGGCACCGGGGTTTCAGGTGCGCTATATTCACGACCGCCCATCGCCAGCACCGCGCCTCAACTCCAACCAGACTCGCGGCCTGACCAAGACTTGACCTGAACTCCTCGTGGACGCTGACGGGAAAACAACGAATCCTCGGAAATAGGCAGACTAGACCTAGAACTAAATACAGCGAAAACCGACAGAACAGAGACTAAGATTAGCAATACAAAATGAACACGAAAATAGCATGGAATTGACTAACACTAAATTAGACCTCAAGATCTTAGCAAACTAAGTGACTAACAAACGAGAAGCGAGCGCTAAATCAAAATAGACATGCAAAAGATACACCGACTACACCCGACCCTGTTAACAAAAGAGTAGACATCACTATGCAATGTTCCGTCACTGCACCACTCGACCCGGGCCGAGAGCAACACTGCCCAAGTTATGTCTTTGGCAACAGTCTGTTCGCTCGGCCACGGATATCACGAACACCGCGCGCACTCAACGGTCAGACAGCACGGCACGGATAGTGCGGCCTCGGGTATGACAGTCGCAGAGCACGG